GTAAAGGATAACTATAACATATAGTCCCCTCAGTGGTCGGTAATCAATGCAAGGGAGCAGACCTTCTTCACAAAAAAGAAACTTGAGGAGGCGGGCAAAGTGGAGGGACGTATGAACCCCTGGCGCAGGGACTCGGATACGTATGTGTCCATAGCCTCCATTTCAGGCTGCGACAGGGGGTATACATGACTCCTGGGAGGCACAGCGTCTACCCGGTGGTTTATCGCACCATCCCCCGCCCGATGAGGTGGTAATTTGGTCGCCTGCGTTTTGGAAAATGCGTGCGCCAAATCGAGGTATTCAGGGGGAATGCACACGGTGGAGGTGGTGTCTGGACTTCCCACCATGGTTGCACCAACGGAAACACCTAGACACCCTGACACTCTCAAGACCACCCCGTGAGAACCCTCTGCGGTCATGATAAGGTGGGGTTGTGTAGTGCTAACCAGGGAAGACCAAACACAACAGGTTAATCAGGAGACTCAATAATAATTAAAAAGTGACTTGCTCTCGATGCGTCTCGTGTGTAACCATAGTGACTGGTGCAGGCCCCTTCCAGGACGTCCTCTAGAAGCTAGCAGGTTTTCCAACCGGATGGCCATGTCCACCAGTTGATCGAAGGGCAACGTGGTGTTCCGGCAGGCTAGATCCCTTCGGATGTCCTCTCGTAGCTGGCACCGGAAGTGGTCGATGAGGGCCCGCTCGTTCCACCCGTCCCAGCCGCTAGAGTCCGAAACTCCAGGGCGAAGTACTGCGTGGTCTTCGTCCCCTGTCTCAGATGCACCAGCTGCTCTCCCGCCTCTCTACCTTCGGGCGGGTGGTCGAAGACTGATGGAAAAAGGCGAGCGAACTCCCTGTAGCCCTCCAACGTGGCTCCTCCTTCACTACAAACCGCATTGGCCCACTCCAGGGCTTTCCCCGAAAGACAGGAGACGAGGGCAGACACCTTCTCCCGCTCCAATGGAGCCGGGCTGAAGGTTGTAAAGTAGAGGTCCAGCTACAGGAGAAATCCCTGGCAGCGGGCAGCTGTCCCGTCACACTCCCTTGGTTGGGATAGTTGAATCCCTCTGGGTGCTGGGTTGTGGGTGGCTGGATCCGGTCTCTCAGCTGGTCTTGAAGGATCGGGTCCTCTCCTCTCCAGGCATTGGACGACCTGGAGAACCCGATCCATCGCTTCTCCCAAGCTGGCTAGCATATCAGAATGCTCCCGGACCCGTGCCACGACTCCTGGCATGTTCGTTTCTCCTGCTGACTCCATGTTGGGTGTGTGATTCTGTGATGAGTTGATGTTGAAGGAGTCAGGCGCAGGAGGGTAAATCACAGAATAACAGGTTTTATTCCGCAAATACAAAGTTACGCAGTAATGCGTCAAAAAACACTCCAGTTCGCAAAACAGGCGCACTGAAAAAACAAGGCACACAGGAAAATATCCCTGTGATACAAAATACACGGAGCTCCACCAAGCTTCACTATCCTCCACAATAAACAATCACACACAAAGACAAGTGGGCAGAGGGAAAACTTATACAGGTAATGATGAGGGGATATGAACCAGGTGTGTAAAAAACAAGACAAAACAAATGGAATGATGAGATGAGGAGCGGTAGTGGCTAGAAGGCCGGTGACGACGACCGCCGAAGCCTGCCCGAACAAGGAGAGGAGGCAGCTTCTGAGGAAGTCGTGACAAGCAATTACAGCTGCAAGTCTCTTGGGATATGTCTCCATAAGCTTGCCACATCTAGCCACTGGGATCTTTGCCCATTCTTCAAGGCAAAACTGAAGATGGATGGGTTCCGCTGGTGTACAGCAATCTTTAAGTCGTACCACAGATTCTCAATTGGATTGAGGTCTGGGCTTTGACTAGGCCATTCCAAGACATTTAAATGTTTCCCCTTAAACCACTCGAGTGTTGCTTCAGCAGTATGCTTAGGGTCATTGTCCTGCTGGAAGGTGAACCTCTGTCCCAGTCTCAAATCTCTGGAAGACTGAAACAGGTTTCCCTCAAGAATTGCCCTGTATTTAGCGCCATCCATCATTCCTTCAATTCTGACCAGTTTCCCAGTCCCTGCCGATGAAAAACATCCCCACGGGATGGTGTTCTCGGGGGGATGAGAGGTGTTGGGATTGCGCCAGACATAGCGTTTTCCTTGATGGCCAAAAAGCTCAATTTTAGTCTCATCTGACCAGAGTACCTTCTTCTATATGTTTGGGGAGTCTCCCACATGCCTTTTGGCGAACACCAAACGTGTTTGCTTATTTTGTTCTTGAAGCAATGGCTTTTTTTCTGGCCACTCTTCCGTAAAGCCCAGCTCTGTGGAGTGTATGGCTTAAAGTGGTCCTATGGACAAATACTCCAATCTCCGCTGTGGAGCTTTGCAGCTCTTTCAGGGTTATCTTTGGTCTCTTTGTTGCCTCTCTGATCAATGCCCTCCTTGCCTGGTCCGTGAGATTTGGTGGGCGGCTCTCTCTTGGCAGGTTTGTTGTGGTAACATATTCTTTCCATTTTTTAATAATGGATTTAATGGTGCTTCCGTGGGATGTTCAAAGTTTCTGATATTTTTTTATAACCCAACCCTGAACTGTACTTCTCCACAACTTTGTCCCTGACCTGTTTGGAGAGCTCCTTCGTCTTCATGGTGCCGCTTGCTTGGTGGTGCCCCTTGCTTAGTGGTGTTGTAGACTCTGGGGCCTTTCAGAACAGGTGTATATATACTGAGATCATCTGACAGATCACGTGACACTTAGATTGCACACAGGTGGACTTTATTTAACTAATTATGTGACTTCTGAAGGTAATTGGTTGCACCAGATCTTATTTATGGGCTTCATAGCAAAGGGGGTGAATACGTATGCACTTCGGTGATCCATCAGAGGCAGAGACATCAGAGAGATGTGAAGTTTGGGCTTCATGTCATGGTCAATATACGCCCCACAACGTGTGAGTGAACCCAGACTCAGATCTACATGGGTGATAGGAAGCCAAAATAAAGTAATACCACCAAATGTGGTAAGACAACGTTACTGCACACTATGGAAGGGTAACAAGAGACTTTTGCAAATATTGTTAGGATGTCATTACTTTGCCATAGGTACCACAGGTTAGTTGTCTTTAAGAGAATCAGATTATCCTTGTATAGAACATTATTACATTATTGTCCATAAGAAATCGATTTGTCTTTTTGCTTTATCCCAACTCCCAGAGAGGTTGGAGCACAGGGCCAGCCACACAGTACAGCACCGGAAAGTGCAGGAAATGTGGAAGGAATGTATACCTTATTGCAGGCTAATAATAAGCATAATTTAATATCAAACCTGAGCAAGAAGGCTGTCATAGTGTTCCAGTATTAATATGTATACTAACCTCTGCATTCAACAAACAGACAGGGTAACGTTACTGGTCTACAGCTTATCAGTCTATCAAACTGTAATCAACTGACCTTTCTCCTAAGACCACTGACCTTAAAGAACCTGTTGGTTGTGAAACCTTATCAATGCAGGTGATTGTCCCCTTTTCATAATCTCACAATAATCACACAATAATCCTGCCCAGTGGTTTTGGTGATGGTGAGGAATTTACATCAGACAGACTAATGGGGGACTTATAGTTGTGAATCAACCTGCAGGTATTGATTTCTATGTCAGGGGATCAGCAACCCCTTTACATTCATTATTTCTTCCCTGTTGGAGAAAATAACCAGCCCACACATGTTGTAGTATGTTGTAGTGTGTGTGTGTCTACCTGCCTTCATGGAGTGTAGCGCCTTATTGGCTGGGAGGATTATGTGGTTGCTTTATTGCCATGGCGTTATTAACTAATTATTGAGGGTCTTCTTATCTTGAAGAAAAAGTGATTTAGCTTGAAGAGCCTTTTCTAAACAGCGGTGGGAAGGGAGAGAGGGAGAGAGGGGGGAGGGGGAGAAACAGAGAGACAGAAAGCAAAATAAAAAACTACAGAGCCCCCTATCTTTCACATTTTCTAAAGCTGTTAAATTCTCTCACTATTACAGTCATTAGCGGTCACACAAACAAGGTCAGAATGTGAAACACCTGGGAATAGAAATCCCTTCCTGAAGTTTCCAGCAGCCTCCAAAATGGCACACTATTCCCGCTATTCCTTACATAGTTTACAACCAGAGCCTTGTAGGACTAATGTTAGATACAAAGGGCTCTGGATAAAAGTAGTGGATGATGTAGGGAATAGGGTGCCATTTCAGATTTGCTCTACTATCCTGATGGTTCCTGTGTGGGGACAGACACACAGAACACTGTAGACGTGGGGATGGTTAAAATGGCCACCTAATAGCTACAATGCTACAATATCCAACAAAACCTCTCAAAATATGACGAAAGGGACCAGAAGTATGGCCATAGTGACCATTGTGAAGGTTAAGTTCATTGCTACAGTACCTCACAACAACATTTAACAATAAAGTTAACTTTACAAACAAACTTTGAGAAAAAACACAATGCTTTACTATTTTTTATAAACACGTGTGAGCGCTTATAATGCCTTATTATGATGAATACAGTATAATATGTGATGTGTCTAGGCAGCATTCATTCAAAAATGTATGCACGCATGACTGTAAGTCGCTTTGGATAAAAGCATCTGCTAAATGGCATATTAATTATTATATTAAAAAGTATCTGCAACTGGTATTTAGCCAGGACATGCTTATAATACATTTTACAAATCTTTATGACTGCATCATAATGCATTATGTCTGTTGGCTTCAAGTAAAGTGTTACCTTTGCTAGCGATGTGGTGAGGACGAGGGTTTGATCTAGTAGTGTGTGCAATATAGAATGACAGTGAAGAAACACAGTTGAATAACTCACACCACATCCATTTGTAACCCTGTAACAGACACACAGACACCACACAGACACAGACACACGCATGCACGCACGCACGCACGCACGCACACACACACACACACAAAACACACAAACACACACAGTATTAACAGGAGCTTGTCAACTCATTGTGTCTCAGACTATATCTCCAGCGCCGCAGTTCCCAACTCCCCCACCAGAGGAGCTCCACTCTTCTCCTCCGGGAGGCTCTGTCGTAGATCAGACCTCAAAGTCTGTCTGCTTCCGTCTCCCCAAACGAAGGTGTGTCTGGCTGGGCAGAGCAGCAGATCAGCCCCCGGTGCTGGTGGAGCTGGCGTCTAAAGGAGCGTCTGAAGATGTAGTAGATAAAAGGGTTGTAGGCCGTGGAGCCCTTAGCGAACAAGCAGGGCAGCAGGGAGACCAGTGGGGCCAGGCTGGCCTTCCCCTGGAACATATACCAAAAGCTGAGCACCACGTAGGGAGACCAGGCCACGATGAACCCTAAACTGATCAACACCCCCATCTGGGGAGGGGAGGAGAGGAGAGGGGGGGGGGGAGGAGGAGAGGAGAGGGGGAGGAGAGGAGAGGAGAGGAGAGGAGAGGAGAGGAGAGGAGAGGAGAGGAGAGGAGGAGGAGAGGAGAGGAGAGGGGGAGGAGAGGAGAGGAGAGGGGGAGGAAAGACATTCATCTATATAGACTATGTTTACAGCCTTGTCAAACATCTTAAGCGTGAGGAAGCCAGATTTGACAGGGACTAAAGCATTTCTTAAATAAATACAAAAGTCTTCTACGCTTTAGTCACTGTCATTCATGAGCTTTGTTTGAGCCCAATGTCTAAAAGACCCTAAGTGGATAAGTATAAAACAGGGTTTTACCTGGATAAATATTATCTTCAAAAACGATGACAATTTACTAGACTTGTCCTGTTTTGATATCTAACCAGAATTGAATAATTCATCCCTCGTAAACAAACAAACAATGCAAAAACAAACAGTCCGCAATTTGGGCAGCACGAACGGCAAATATAGAACAGCTTGTTGCGTTGTGGCCATTGACATAATCCATAGAAGGGTGTTGTAACCTCTAACCCTGGACTGTTAAACTCATGGGTACACTAGCAATTGCTGCCAGTCCTGACATCAATGGGAACTGCCATCAATGGATTATATTTATATGGTTGGTTGAGGCTGTCAGTTTGCTTTTTGAAAATTTCTAAATACAACCACGAGAAAAAATGTTGGAAAGAAAATGCCTACTGCTGAAAAGAGAAGACTAATCTGTCTGTAGAAGCTAAAATAAAATTCTCAACAACTTTCGAGCGATTCTGAGTGGACAGCACTGTTTTTCAAAGTGTCTTATCTTGAGATAAGCTATTGGCACGAGCGCATCAACCATCACCAGTGAGTAGTCTAGGCTTAATCTTCATCATTGGGTGAATCAATGCCACTGGAAAGTTTATTTAGTAGCCTACTGTAGCCTATAATATACAGTATATATATTTATCCTAATATTGTACAATATGGGTGTCTCTTCATTGGCCTGGGCTATTGTTTTCATTCAAGACCAGGTCGTTTTTATTGCTCTCAGTTTGTCACTGACAGAGTAGCCACTCATTTCGGTCATTTGTGTGGTATTAGAAGATATTCCGCTAATGTCTGCTATCATGTCAAGGATGTTTTGCTCACCGTTCTTGTGATCATTTTGACCCCACGGGGTGAGATCTTGCATGGAGCCCCAGATCGAGGGAGATTATCAGTGGTTTTGTATGTCTTCCATTTCCTAATTAATTGCTCCCACAGTTGATTTCTTCAAACCAAGCTGCTTACCTATTGCAGATTCAGTCTTCCCAGCCTGGTGCAGGTCTACAATTTTGTTTCTGGTGTCCTTTGACAGCTCTTTGGTCTTGGCCATAGTGTAGTTTGGAGTGTGACTGTTTGAGCTTGTGGACAGGTGTCTTTTATACTGATAACAAGTTCAAACAGGTGCCATTAATACAGGTAACGAGTGGAGGACAGAGGAGCCTCTTAAAGAAGAAGTTACAGGTCTGTGAGAGCCAGAAATCTTGCTTGTTTGTAGGTGACCAAATACTTATTTTCCACCATAATTTGCAAATAAATTCATTAAAAATCCTACAATGTGATTTTCTGGATTTTTTCCCCTCAATTTGTCTGTCATAGTTGACGTGTACCTATGATGAAAATTACAGGCCTCTCTCATCTTTTTAAGTGGGAGAACTTGCACAATTGGTAAGGAGGGAGGCAGTTTGACAATAACAAGGCAATTGTATTCACTGAACAGTGCAATCTGTTCTTGTAGATATGCTGGTCAGCCTGTTCGGATAAATTGTTATTTTTAACCAGACACCATAGAGAAGCCATGAGGCTGGCGATTATCAAAGGTTTATAGATAGTCAATAAATCTTTAAATTTGAAACGGATTCATGGATTGATTTATTGACTTCAAACCCCAGTAACCCATTAATAAACCCAATAATCTCATTAAGATGGAATCCGTACTTAAACTGCCATGTCTGTTTGTGATATTACCACAACAAATAAGTTACTTCAAACAACAAACACTGTTTTCTCCTTCGGACATCATTGCACGTGCAATAGAACATCCTAATAATTATAATTATAATAATAAGAATTATTATTATTTTTATAATAACAGGCCCTAAAAATTGTCAAAGGCCCACCAAAGTCATAGACTGCTCCCAAGTCTGGGACCAAAAGGCTCCTGAACAGCTTCTATCCCCAAGCCATAAGACTCCAGAACAGTTAATCACATGGCTACACGGACTATTTACGTTGACCCCGTTTATTATTTTATTATTTTATATTAATTTTTTTGCACAGACTCTCTTGCACTGGCTCTATGCACATTCAATAGACTCTACCCACACACACACTCATACTACACTGATACTCCAACACACACACACATATACACACACATACGCTCACACACACATGCATATTGACACCACACACACACACACTCACACATAGACACACTTCACACACTACCCATACGCTGCTGCTACTCTGTTTATTATCTATCCTTATTGCCTAGTCTCTTTTACCCCTACCTACATGTACATACTGTATTACCTCAATACCTCAACTACCTCGTACCCCTGCACATTGACTCGGTACCGTTAATCCTTGTATATAGCCTCGTTATTGTTATTTTATTGTGTTACTATTTCAGTTTTTATTCAGCAAATCTTTTTTTCTTTTTTTAACTCTGCATTGTTGGGAATGGGCTCGTAAGTAAGCATTCGGCGCATGTGACCAATACAATTGTATTATGTTTTATTTTACTTCATATGTTTTGAAATTTTTATTACCATGCTGCCAAACTTTCCTCTCCTCCGTTTTATCAACAAAACAAAAACAAATGTGGATTCCAGCTTTAAAGAAAAATCCGTAAACGGTTAATAAACAGTCAACAGATAAACCTTCATACTCACCAGAGTGACCTTCCTCTCGATGTGTCCGTAGTTGAAGTCGCCGCTCTGGATGGACTGGTAGGCCTTGTGGAGTTTCCAGGCTATGCCGGAATAGGAGAAGAGGATGACGTGGCAGGGGCTGAAGGTACAGAGGATAGACAGAGACATGATGAAGGTAGAGTGGTTCAGGGAGTCTTGGTAGCTGGCTCAGTCCACGGAGCAGGCCACTCCGAAGGGCTCCGGTCCATGGCTGCCCCAACCTAGGAGAGGGAACACAGCCCACAGCCCAGAATACAGCCAGATCAAACTGATCACCATGGTGATGGTCCGACGCTGGAACTTGTTGGCTGGTGGAGAGGTAGATCGGGGAGAGGTAGAGAAGGGTGCAGTGTACTGTTAGCTAGCGCTGATGCATTAATACACCAACCCTAACCCTGAGCATAGGCCTAACAATAGCCCTAACCCTTACCCCAAGCCTAATCCTAGCCCAAAACCTAATTTTAAGCCTAGCTAGATAACATTGATCACCATCATGATGGTGTCATACTGGAACGGTTTCAGGACTGGTCATTCAACTGAGACTGCTCTTCTCTGTGTCACGGAGGCTCTCCGCACTGCTAAAGCTAACTCTCTCTCCTCTGCTCTTGTCCTTCTAGACCTGTCTGCTGCCTTTGATACTGTGAATCATCAGATCCTCCTCTCCACCCTCTCCGAGCTGGGCATCTCCGGCGTGGCTCACTCCTGGATTGCGTCCTACCTGACCGGTCGCTCCTACCAAGTGGCGTGGCGAGAAGCTGTCTCCGCACCACGTGCTCTCACCACTGGTGTCCCCCAGGGCTCAGTTCTAGGCCCTCTCCTTTTCTCCCTATACACCAAGTCACTTGGCTCTGTCATATCCTCACATGGCCTCTCCTATCATTGCTACGCTGACGATACACAACTAATCTTCTCCTTTCCCCCTTCTGATAACCAGGTGGCGAATCGCATCTCTGCATGTCTGGCCGACATATCAGTATGGATGACGGATCACCACCTCAAGCTGAACCCTGGCAAGACGGAGCTGCTCTTCCTCCCGGGGAAGGACTGCCCGTTCCATGATCTCGCCATCACGGTTGACAACTCCGTTGTGTCCTCCTCCCAGAGTGCGAAGAGCCTTGGCGTGACCCTGGACAACACCCTGTCGTTCTCCGCTAACATCAAGGCGGTGACCCGATCCTGCAGGTTCATGCTCTACAACATTCGGAGAGTACGACCCTGCCTTACACAGGAAGCGGCACAGGTACTAATCCAGGCACTTGTCATCTCCCGTCTGGATTACTGCAACTCGCTGTTGGCTGGGCTCCCTGCCTGTGCCATTAAACCCCTACAACTCATCCAGAATGCCGCAGCCCGTCTGGTGTTCAACCTTCCCAAGTTCTCTCACGTCACCCCCCCTCCTCCGCACACTCCACTGGCTTCCAGTTGAAGCTCGCATCCGTTACAAGACCATGGTGCTTGCCTATGGAGCAGTGAGGGGAACGGCACCTCCGTACCTTCAGGCTCTGATCAGTCCCTACACCCAAACGAGGGCATTGCGTTCATCCACCTCTGGCCTGCTGGCTCCCCTTCCTCTGCGGAAGCATAGTTCCCGCTCAGCCCAGTCAAAACTGTTCGCTGCTCTGGCACCCCAATGTTGGAACAAGCTCCCTCACGACGCCAGGACAGCGGAGTCACTCACCACCTTCCAGAGACATTTGAAACCCCACCTCTTTAAGGAACACCTGGGATAGGATAAAGTAATCCTTCTACCCCCCCCAAAAAAAAAAAAAAAATAATTGTAAAGTGGTTATCCCACTGGCTATAGGGTGAATGCACCAATTTGTAAGTCGCTCTGGATAAGAGCGTCTGCTAAATGACGTAAATGTGCCCTTGAGCAAGGCACTTAACCCTAATTGCTCCTGTAAGTCGCTCTGGATAAGATGCTCGTCTGCTAAATGACTAAAATGTAAAAATGTAAAATGTAACTACTTCTTAAATCTTAGAATAATTCCCAAAAGGTTGTAAATCTCTTAGTTTGAATAAATTAAACAAATACCTAATTCTGCAATGGTCAGCATGTTTATTCATGAGAGCGCTCTGCAACAAAATGGTCGTACAATCTTTTTATACGCACACGTCAGAGGAAATATCCCATCATACCAGAGGTATTTTTCCACTGTACGCATCTTGTAAGCTCACACCTGGGTTTAGCTCATGTGATTTTCCTCTGCTCTCCTGACCATCAGGTCACACACACACACACACACACACACACACACACACACACACACACACACACACACACACACACACACATGTTCTTATCATAGTCTACTCCTTGCTCGGGTAGGCTGAGTTATCGCCGTCCTCACAATATCCTGCAAGCCTTTTCACTCCCCTTTCCCTGTGTGTTTTTGGAACCAGTCTCCTGTTATTGGTTTCAATCGTTTTGCACTTCTGCTTGCCTAATTACAAGACACAAATACTCTGTTGCTGTGATATAAACACATTTGATTAACTCTCTAAGCTCTAGTCTACTAATTAGTCATACATTATTAGTTTAACTGAGGGTGTGACATTTTAGTCATTTCTTTATCAGTTTGTTAATAATCAAATATAACAGCTGTTTTTTCATGTTAGTTGATTTTTCACTTTGGAATTATCCTATCCACATTTATTTAATTGTGTTACAAGCAATTCCATAACATGAAATATTGACTCCAAGCACTTTCTTTACATAAGATTTTAAAATTAACTGGTTACAATAGTGTAACCAAATGGTGACGATCTCATCAATGGAAGCTTTCCAGGCTCTGTAGCATCACAGTACTTATGCAGATACAGTGCATTCGGAAAGAATTCAGACCCCTTGACTTTTTCCACATTTTGTTACGTTACAGTCTTATTCTAAAATGGATGAAGTCGTTTTTTCCCCTCATCAATCTACACACAATACCCCATAACGACAAAGCAAAAACAGGTTTTTAGAACATTTTGCTAATATAAAGAAAAAAGAATACAGACGCTTTACTCAGTATTTTGTTTAAGCACCTTTGGCAGTGATTACAGCCTCGAGTCTTCTTGGGTATGACGCTACAAGCTTGGCACACTTGTATTTGGGAAGTTTCTCCCATTCTTCTCTGCAGATCCTCTCAAGCTCTGTCAGGTTGGATGGGGAAGCATCGCTGCACAGCTATTTTCAGGTCTCTCCAGAGATGTTCGATCGGGTTCAAGTCCGGGCTCTGACTGGGCCACTCAAAGACATTCAGAGACTTGTCCCGAAGCCACTCCTGCATTGTCTTGGCTGTGTGCTTAGGGTCATTTTCCTGTTGGAAGGTGAACCTTTGCCCCAGTCTGAGGTCCTGAGCGCTCTGGAGCAGGTTTTCATCAAGGATCTCTTTGTACTTTGCTCTGTTCATCTTTCCCTTGATCCTGACTAGTCTGCCAGTCCCTGCCACTGAAATCATCCCAACAGCATGATGCTGCCACCGCCATGCTTCACCGTAGGGATGGTGCCAGGTTTCCTCCATACGTGACGCTTGGCATTCAGGCCAAAGAGTTCAATCTTGGTTAAATCAGACCAGAGAATCTTGTTTCTCAAGGTCTGAGAGTCCTTTAGGTGCCTTTTCGCAAATTCCAAGTCCTCCATGTGCCTTTTACTGAGGAGTGGCTTCCGTCTGGCCACTCTACCATAAAGGCCTGATTGGTGGAGTGCTGCAGAGATGGTTGTCCTTCTGTAAGGACGTTCGACTCATTTCTCTCTGCCTCCTTCTTTCCACTCCTCTCCTCTTTTGACCTCACCCTCTCACCGTCCCCCCCTACTCACAAGGCAGGCAATACGCTTGACCTCATCTTCACTAGATGCTGCTCCTCTACTAATCTCACTGCAACTCCCCTCCAAGTCTCCGACCACTACTTTGTTTCCTTTTCTCTCTCGCTCTCCTCCCACACTACTCACTCTGCCCCTACACAGATGGTAATGCGCCGCCGCAACCTTCGCTCTCTCTCTCCCACTACTCTCTCCTCTTCCATCCTATCATCTCTTCCCTCTGCTCAATCCTTCTCCCTCCAATCTCCTGATTCTGCCTCCTCAACCCTCCTCTCCTCCCTTTCTGCATCCTTTGACTCTCTGTGTCCCCTATCCTCCCGGCCGGCTCGGTCCTCCCCCCCAGCTCCGTGGCTTGATGACTCACTGCGAGCTCACAGAACAGAGCTCCGGGCAGCGGAGAGGAAATGGAAGAAAACTAAACTCCCTACCGACCTGGCATCTTTTCACTCCCTCCTCTCTACATTTTCTTCATCTGTTTCTGCTGCTAAGGCCACCTTCTACCACTCTAAATTCCAAGCATCTGCCTCTAACCCTAGGAAGCTCTTTGCCACTTTTTCCTCCCTCCTGAATCCTCCTCCCCCCCCCCCCCCCCCCCTCCTCTCTCTCTGTGGATGACTTCGTCAACCACTTTGAAAAGAAGGTTGACGACATCCGATCCTCGTTTGTTAAGTCTAATAACACTGCTGGTCCTGCTCACACTGCCCTACCCTATGCTTTGACTTCTTTCTCCCCTCTCTCTCCAGATAAAATCCTGCGACTTGTGACTGCAGGCCGCCCAACAACCTGCCCGCTTGACCCCATCCCCTCCTCCCTTCTCCAGACCATCTCCGGTGACCTTCTCCCCTACCTCACCTCGCTGATCAACTCATCCTTGACCGCTGGCCATGTCCCTTCCGTCTTCAAGAGAGCGAGAGTTGCTCCCCTCCTCAAAAAACCAACACTCGACCCCACTGATGTCAACAACTACAGACCAGTATCCCTTCTTTCTTTTCTTTCCAAAACTATTGAGCGTGCCGTCTTTAGCCAACTCTCTTGCTATCTCTCTCAGAATGACCTTCTTGATCCAAACCAATCAGGTTTCAGGACTGGTCATTCAACTGAGACTGCTCTTCTCTGTGTCACGGAGACTCTCCGCACTGCTAAAGCTAACTCTCTCTCCTCTGCTCTTGTCCTTCTAGACCTGTCTGCTGCCTTTGATACTGTGAACCATCAGATCCTCCTCTCCACCCTCTCCGAGATGGGCATCTCCGGCGCGGCTCACTCCTGGATTGCGTCCTACCTGACCGGTCGCTCCTACCAAGTGGCGTGGCGGGAAGCTGTC